AGTATTTAGATTAGGAGAGAAGAGGACATTACTGATAGGAGTAAAGAAGAAGGGGAACTGTATAAGCTACAGAGGAAGCTACAATTAAAAAAATCTTTCTGGCAAGAGCAGAGAATTCACTTTATATAGAAGAATGGATAAACTAGACCTATGTTATTTTAATCTTTCTTAGAACAGCTAGAGTACCATCTGTAGAGATGAAAAACAGCAACTGTCATTATTCAGAGATTCTTTAGAAGCCAGATTCAGAAGTCTACTATCAACACTGTAAAATCATGCCATCAAAGCTCTCTAAAAATAGACCCTTTTTGAGATTTGGAATTTATTCGAATGCATATCAGTACATTCCCCAGATCTAACGTCATTCTCTTTCAAGATTATTTACCTGACCTGTTTTTTTTTTTTAAAGTCCTGTTGTAATTGGAAAATCTAGTTACTATCTATACCAGTGTTTGCGGATAAAATGTAAATTGCTGTGAAGTACAAAATTCTTATTTTGATTTGTTGTTTGGGAACCTTTTTAGCTAATACTAATCTTACAATCAAGGAATATTTTCTTATAGATTTTATCTGTGTTGAATCTTGAGTTAGCTTAGCATTTTAAAGAAAGCTACAAACAGTGTAATGATTGAGAAATCACAATTTCTCAGAGTTTGAGGAGATTCTGTGTTCAAAGTCCTAGCATGTCCTTTTTATCATTCCCAGGCTTTGCCTGAACATCTCAATCACTGCTTTCTCCATCTGAGAGTTCATTATTTGTGGAACTCTAATTGTTTAAAAGTCTAAACATATCAAATTGAAACTTGATGCCTTATAATTTCTACCTAGTAGTCCCAGTTCTGCCCTTTGAAGTACACAAAAGAAGGTACATTTCTTTTGCATGACAATTTCAATAATTGAAGGTAAACAGTACATTTCTCTCTTGAGTCCACTTACTTTAGTATTATTTTTGTACTCATTTTTTCTACCAGCCATAGCCTTTCCTAAAACAGCTACCCTCTACTTTATTTATGCATTAAAAAGAAAAGCTCTTTAGTATAATTGTGCCAATACAAAGTTACAGGTACAAAATTAAACCATTTACGTGATATAATTAGGGCAGTAAGTGACATTACATTTAAAACTATTATGTTGAAAGGCTATCATTTCATATTGCCACACAAAAGAGGGAAAAGCACATTGTTCCTCGAGGTCAGAATTTTGAGTATAAAGCAAAAATAAAAATTTCACATATAGCCCTGGCTACTGTGGCTCAGTGGATTGAGTGCCAGCCTGCAAACCAGGGGGTCACTGGTTCCATTCCAGGTCTGGGCACATGCCTGGGTTGTGAGGGCAGATCTCCAGTAGGGAGCATGCAAGAGGCAATTACACATTGATGTTTCTCTCCTTCTCTTTCTCCCTCCCTTCCCCTCTCTCTAAAAATAAATAAATCTTTTTTAAAATGTCATATATAAAGAGCCTATAAATAAAATGCTGTCTTCATTTTCCCTTAAGTGTATTTCTTAATTACATGCCTGCAGTGTACCAGAATATATACTCAGCTTTTAGGGGGTCCTATGGGGAAGAGAGATTATATCAGTAAAATAAAAATATATTTATTATGACAAAATCTATGTCTAAATAGAGCTCTTACTAGAAAAGTAGAGTTGCCCATTTAACCATATATGAGGCACTATAACAGTGGTTAAAAGCATGGACTATGTGGTTTGAATACTGGATTCACATCTTACTAGTGTGTGACCTTACACAACTTTACTAATTTCCTATATTGATTATGTGTAACATGGAGAGAATAAAAGTACTTCCCTCATAAGCTAATTATATTATGTGAATTAATATGAGTAAAAATGATACTTATTTGCTACATAAATATTTGCTGTTATTACCTGCAATATACTATAAAGAGCTTTAGTTTAAAAAATCAGTAGATAATGATTGAATAAATACTGAAAGAATTTTTTCTTGGGGAAAAATCAAGCAAGATTCCTAAAGTTTACAGTAGTGTAGTTATAAAAAAGTTAAAAGAAACAGAGATGACATGCTAAATATTGTATTTTTTACCTTGAATCTGCCAGAATGATGAAATCTTGAAATCATCTTTCCAGCTCACCCGTATAAGCGTACTCTCATAAAATGTACAGAGGCTAGTATACCTGAATACTTTAGTTTTGCAAAATATATGCTAAGATACTGACAACTAAATATCATTAAATAGATTGCAAATACAAGTGCTAAAGTGTATTTACATAGACATATTTTCAAAAATAAAGTTTTCAGGATATTTCTTTGTTATTATTGTCTGAAATCATGAATGTGTACTCATCTATCTTAGATCTCCACCTATAAAATGAATTTAATGTTGCTTTTCATACAAAATGTAATGACAACAAATGGATTTATATCTGTCAGTCCGCCTGAACTTCTTAGAATTATATCACTATGTTTAGGAAGGCAAAGTATTTGTAACTTTTTAATTACCTGCCACAAAAGGAAACTTACAGGGAACTGATAGTCAGAAAGTAGATTCATATAACAATAAACTGCTTGGAATTATTCTAATAATTTTATAAGCATTATTTCCTCATGTTGGAACTTGGAAAGAACATGGTTGCTATTAAAACATGGAGGACAGATTTCCAATGGGGGCAGTAACCATTTTAGGTAATCATTAATGACAGACACACTGATGAGAATTTAGGGAAAGAATCTAAGTTTCTTCAAAAGATGCTGAACAGCAAGAAGCAGTAAAGCTGTTGGAAGTGTGGATTCTGAAAATGGACCCTCATCAGTCTCACTGAGAGAGAGAGAGAGAAAGAGAGAGACCAAAGGTCAAAGGCAGTGATGCAGAAGAAGCAGTTGATTGTGCTAAAGGACCAACTGATATAAAAGGAAATAAATTATACTACAATGTGAAGATTGAAGATTGCATTGTAGTGATGGATGTCAGTGTGATCATTTAAGTGTGTTTTCCCCCCACCTTCTTCAGCACTTTCCATAGTTTGATTGCAGTATATGATATAATATCCTTTCATGTAATAATTCTCAGGCTAAAACTTTAAGTACTGAGAAGATATGTCAGTTTTGCAAATTTTAAAAATACTTTTCTACAAAATGTAGGCATTACAGCCAATAAGAGGATGACTGTTAGTTTTGAATATTATATAAATATGTATATAGACCTCCATTATCATGAGGTCACTTTAGTATAACACCATTTATGAAGCTCAAAAGAGATTCACATGATGCCAGTTTCGCATTTTTTAAATTTTATTTATTTATTTTTAGAGAGGGAAAAGAAGGAGAAAGAGAAGGAGAGAAACATCAATGTGTGGTTGCCTCTCACATGCCCCCCACTAGGGACTTAGCATGCAACCCAGGCATGTGCCCTAGACTGGGAATCGAACCAGTGACCCTTTGGTTCTCGGGCCGGCACTTAATTCACTGAGCCACACCAGCCAGGGCTACCGTTATTGTGAAACAGGGTATTATGTTTCTTCGATACAAGATTTGTCTGTGGGTCCTAATACTTTCCTTCCTCATTTCTTCTCTTTCTGCCATTTTCAGGACTTTCCTATGTTATACCCTGTCCCTTAAGATGGGGCTGTTCTGTGTGTTGGATAGGTGAATGAATATCACCATCAATATTAAATAAAATTTAGAGAAATAAGAGGGCTTCTTTTATATAATACTGAAAACAAATTCTAGTATAAATGGACCTTCCCTCATATGTTTACCTTGTACACCAATAACAACAGTATTAACAATAATACTCTATTTTTGTTTGAATTTTAGTTATTATTCCTTGCTTTCTCAACAACAACAACAAAATGCCGTAGGACAGGGGTCGGTAAACTTATTCTTTAGAAGTCTAGGTAGTAAATATTTTAGACTTTGTGGAATATATGGTCTTTACCATAACTGCTCTCCCTTGCCTGCCCAAAACCACCACAAGAGCATATAAATGAATGGGCTCTACCACATGTGCCCTGATCAAACTTTACTAATAGATAATGAGATTGGATTTCATATAATTTTTATGTATCATAAATATATTTCTTTTGAATTTTTCCATTCATTTAAAATGTAAAAGACTAGGAAAAGCAGGTTTGAAGAGGAAGGTCAGGAGTTTTACTTTGGTCATGGAAATTTCAACAGTCTTTAAGATATCCAAGTAGAGGTGTTAGGTTGGCTGTTAGATATTTGCATCTTGAGTTCAGGGTAGAAGTCTGGGCTAGGCATATAGTGCTGTGTTGATACTCATAGTTAATTCATTCTGGAACTTGTGACAAGAGCTGAAACCAACAAGTACCGAACAATGAAGCATTTTCTCCTGTGAGCAGCATTGTGACTCTTCCTTCCAAGTTCTAGCAAGTGTGATGAGTCTCGAGCAAGAGCAAAGTGCTGAAATATTTTTTCTTGTCAAAATGTGCTGAGTACAGAGTTTGACAGGTTCTAAAGCTGATGAATTTCAAGATGTGGCTATCTTAATGGAATTAAGACCCCTGACAATTGAGATACCAAGGTACTGGTTAATATTACTATTTATTGGTATTACTGCCCCTGTTTTTTTTCTCATTCACTTTCAAAGAAGTAGGCTGCTTCTAGTAACCTGTCCCCTCTGCTCATACACAAAAAAGGATGGAAGGGATCCCACTGAATCAGAAAGCAGACCCACACTATTAGTAGTAGGAAGTAGTACTATTAGTTAGGCCATTCTCAAATTTTACCATGGTGTAAACATGGGAGTGAATTTTCCCAAGTACCTCCTTGCTGGAAACTGTTTGCACTGGAGGTAAGTGTGAAAGGGGAGGTTGTGGGAAATGATGGGGTGAGGGCTTCCAAAACCTTTCTCAAACCTCAGAAATGGCTTTATTCTGAGGAAGGGAGAAGGTTCAGGCTGGTTTTTATTTCCATGAGCCAGTTCAAACAGCCCTAAATTTGATCTGCTTTCCTCAAACTGGGAGTCAGAATCCCTTTTCTCTTCTGTTTTTCTGCTGCAGAAATTCCCAACATTCCCATTTTGTGGGCTCCAGAAAGGGGTAAGCGAAGACTTCAATCCCAGCCAATCATTTCCAAATTAATAATTTTTAGTGTTTTGGTTTTTAATCATTATAAAAATGCTCTGACCCATTTTTCCCATCTGTTTTATTTTTTGTGGATTGTTATGTATCTATGTTCTAGGGTCACTGTGTATCCCTGGGCAGTAGAGTTCAGATCCATTGGCTATTTCCATTTGTGTGCTTTTCTCTTGTGAATTCGCATATGCAGTTTATGGGTGACTGCTTTCTAGATTGAAGACACCAAATTCAGGAGATTGCTTCACCCTCAGTGTCATTTTTTCCTGAATGGTGTTTTGTTCCCCTGCTGACAGCTTTTCACTCCCCTACCCAACTGCTTCTGATGATCTGCCATTGGCTCTCTGCTATTCTGTCTTCCTGCTTTGACTGCCTTTGACTTTTTTTTCCTCAACTTTTTCCCCCATTTACTCATCTGCTGATTGATTTGCATTCTTTACTCACTGGTGCTTTGTCCATCAGCAAATGGCCTGGTACTACCATATCCATCTGCTGCTATTTTAGCATTTTAGACTGCTCAGCATTCTCTATCAGCTCTCCTACCATACTCCTACACCATCTGCCTGCCTTATCTTGCCCCGCCCAATTTATGCCTGTAATATTATATGTAGGTTCAGATTGTTTAGCACTTCTGCTATCTTTCTCTACTTGCCTTATGCCACTAAGTTGGACTGCTGACTAAGTTTGCTTGACTACTGTCTCCTCTACCTATCTGATGCACATGGCCGCCCTCTTAATTAACTTGAGATGTTATGTTTATCTCCTATGTATTCAGCCTTGAAACATGCTGATTGGCCCATATTGCCTCCTTTATACTTGTCTGCATTTGATAAATCACTGGCATTGTTCCTCTGTTATCTTGTAACCCTGATCAGATTTTATTTCCAAGAAAAGTATTGCCTACATATTGTCCAAACATATCTTATAAATAGAAAAATGCTGCACTATTTAATAGTCCAGTCCACTTTATTCCTAAACTGACTTTCAAACTCATTATCACCATCCTTTCAGCTTTTTAATACAACTCTACAATTTTCTCTTTAGTTGGAAATATATTTCTTTCTAAGTCATTTGTTGTCTTTGCTTCAGTTGCCTTTTTACATCATATATTATATACTTTTGTTCCTGTGTATAGAATCTTTTAATAATTTTCCATATACTAAGTTCATTTTCTAATTTATTTCCCCCAATTTTTCCAGGACATCATAAGGACAGATTACAACTATTAATTTTATTTAAAATTTAAAAGTATCTCTGAAAAGAATCATGTTACTTATAGTTTTTTATAGTTTTTTAAAATTAAAGTAGCTTTCCACTTTGGTTCATTTTTTTCCTTTGAGAATATCATTTCTCAGTCACCCCATAATTTATATAATATCAGTTCTATAGAGATCCTTTCAACGTATTTATCTTTCCCTCCTTTCAGGCTATTTTTCTTGTGCATGGATAAAGTTTTAAAATTGACATTTTCTCATTATTTGCTGAGTACCTGGCATCTAAAAGTACTTGGAATAAAAAATTATCTGCACTATAAAGCTTATTGTCTTATTCACTGATATTTAAATAAAAATCCAGATCAAACAAGAAATGAAGATTTGCAAATAATGTAAAGAGTCCAAGGAGATTTAAAGTAGAGTATGTACATTTGCATACAAGTGTATGTATATCTATGTGTGTACATATCTATAGCATCGTTGCACTTAAAATGTGGAAAATGCAGAGTATCTATATTAAATTTTGTTTTATTTTTCAAAAATGAAAGGGAAAAGGCTAAAAAGAAAGTTATAAATTTAGAGAATATAGAAAAAAGATATGGACAGGGGTTTTAATTTACTTTCCTCTAATAATATTTCAGTAGTTTTTTATTACTATAGTAAAATACACATAACATAAAATATACTGTTTTAACTAATCTTAAATGTACAATTCAGTACAGTCCTGATTGTTTGCAACCATCACATCTCTCTGTTTCTATAACTTTTTAATCATCTCAATGGAAACTCTGTACCCATTAAATAGTAGCTCCCCATTTCTTACAGGCCCTGGTAACCTCTATTTTACTGAATCTGATGTTGCCTATTCTAGGTACCTTATATGAGTGGAATCATACCATTTTTGTCCTTCTATGTCTGATTTATACTTAACATTATATTTTCAACACTCATTCATGTTGTAGCATATATTAGAATTTCATTCTTTTTTGAGGCTACTCTTCTATCGTATGTTTATACCACAATTTGTTTATTCATTCATCTGGGCACTTGAGTTGCTTCATGTTTTGGCTATGAACAATGCTGCTGTGAGCATTGGTATGCAGGTGCTGTTTTTCTTTCAAATATTTTGAGTATTTACCTAGAAGTGTATTCAGAACTTTTAATGCATTTGTCTAAGAGGAATTTAAATCAATGGCAAAGATATCAGGAAACTACATAATTAATATGAAAGATGGATAAGGTCAAGATATTGTATTAGGAGAATAAATTGTAAACTTTTAGAAAGGTTACAGAAGGCCATGTGAAATTTAGAAGATCCTAGATTCTAAGAATGAAAAGGAGAATGAAGTAAAATAACACAGACAGATGAAGGACTTCAAAATGATTCTGACGGTTGAATTAAAAAAATACCAACTTCAGGACAAAATGATGGCATGTCTTTGAACCAGAGAAAGGCTCACTTTTAAAAAAGAGAAGAGGGATGCATTTGAAAGACAAGGTTTTAATAAAGATAATGGGACTGAAATAAGGCAACCAGGGTGTGTTTAGAAGAACCAGCCATGAGAGTAGGAATTCATTTCAGTGCAGTAGTCCTCAATCCTGGATACCCAAGCCTTCTACCTATAGAGGTTTTTCTGAAGAGATTCCTGGGCCTAACCCCTAGAGATGATGAACCAAGGATATGATTTAGGCAATGTGTGCATGAGTGTGTATGTGTTTTAATATACTGGTAAAAAAAATTTTATTAAATTGAATTGTGTTGCATAGTGTCCTAGACTTTAGAAGAGTAACCAAAGTTGGAGAGCAGTGGTCCTTGTCTTCAAGGAATTTAAAACTGTAGTAGTTAAATTTGTAATAATAATGAATTTAGGAAAGGAGATTTTCAATCCATTAGTAGATAATGTTTTTACAATTTATTTTGGTGATTTTTACATGCTCAATCCAGCCTGTCTCAGCCAAGATTCCTCATGTAACCTGTCAAAACAGCAAAATTTGAGTGACTCTCTTCTCAGTTCTCCAAAGGTGGTACATAAACTTGTACTACTCTGTATGTATGGGAGAGAGATTATTTCATTATATCCAGTAATTCTGCTCCGCCTATTTAAAAGGCTCGCTATATGCCATGTGTATGTTAGGAGTATATGAGGCAAAGATAATGCCTTGCTCTCAAGGAATTTACATCCCAAGAGAGGGAAAAAACATTTAACAAAAAAATGTAGTACCCACAAACTATTGTTATTTTCTTCTAATTCTTTAGGGAAAATGTTCAAAGAATGATTGTATATAAGAGCATTCTTTCACCTCTTGTAAGCATCATTGATTCAGGAATAAGAATGTCTTCTATGTTAATGCCTCATCACAGCTGAAGGATTCTGGTAATAGTTTAAATGCCAGTAAGAATCTCTTTAATTTTAAGGCCTAGAGCTCTTAGTGACAGATTACAATTCCATTGGTAGCTGTTAATAAACAGCATCACATGAAGCCAAGATTATTAGTTTTATAGTGGAAAATAGAGGTTGGCTAGAGATAAGTAGGTAACTAATGTTTAGGAAGTTCTTGAATGTAATTATAAACACAATGAGGATCCCCCTTCTCCCAAGAAGTATAACTATATATTGAAAAGGTTTGGGATTAATTTATTTTTATTATCAACTAAAGCTCACTTGAATTCTTGGTGTCGGGAAAAGTTCAGTCATATTAATTAGTTTTTGTGAGGGATCTGGTTAGTTACTCATTTAAACTAGGAATTTATTTGTCCTCCTTAAATTAATGTGCGCCTTTAAACTTGGACACAGTTAGCTTTATTCTTATTGCTCAGTGTTTCATACTGATTTTTCTGAAGAAATCCTTTAAAGTACTACAGTTAAGTTTTAGTATCCTATTTTTCCTCCCTTCTCCTGATGTCCTACTAGTAATTTATTTCTAACAGCACAGCTATGGAAAGATCAAAGTACTTGCATCAGTATTCCATTGTGTAAATGTACCACAGATTTTTTATCCACTCATCTACTGATGGGCACTTGGGCTGTTTCCAGAGCTTGGCTATTGTAAATGGTGCTACAGTGAAGAGAGGGGTGCATATATTCTTTCAAATTAATGTTTTGGGTTCTTAGGATATATTCCCATATGTAGGATCTTTGGGACAAAAGGCAGTTCCATTTTTAATTTTTCTGAGGAAACTCTGTGTTTGTTTTCCACAGTGGCTGCACCAGTCTGCATTCCCACCAACAGTGCACAAGAGTTCCCTTTTCTTCACATCCTTGCCAGCACTTCTTGTTTGTAGATTTATTGATGATAACCATTCTAGTGAGTGCGAGGTGATAATCTCATTGTGGTTTTAATTTGCATCTCTCTGATGATTAGTGACATTGAGCACTTTTTCCTATGTCTCTTGGCCATCTGTATGTCCTCTTGTGGAGGTGCTCAAAGTGGGGAGGAAGATGGGGATGAAGAGACTTTGCTTGGCCAGTGGGCACACCATGCAGTGTGCAGATGATGTTTTTCTGAGTTTTTACTTGAAACCTGTATGGTTTTGTTACCCAGTGTCACCACTTAAATTCAATTAAAAAATACTTTTGTCAGGAGCAAAGCAGTAAAATAGAAATTATACCCAGGTGTAACTTGTTTTCTTCATAATAAATGAGTTTAAAGATTTTCATTTATTCTGAAAAACATTTTTAATGCAAGAAAAAATTATACAGATATTTTAAAGTATAAGATCTGGAATAAAGGAAAATATAAGAATAACAA